CTCGTTGGCTCGTCGGTTTGTGCCGAGCTATGCTAGGGGACCTATAAGCAATTTTATATGCCTACACGGAGTAGGCCAAATATTGCTTTAAGCACAGCGTTTCACAAACGCACAGCAGGTAATTAAAAAAATTTAAATAACAGCACATCTAAAAATTCCTCTGTTCAATTTCAGATTTAACCTCAATTTCTAACAACTTCCACCATTAAAATTTTTATCCCTGTTTAAAAAAAACTCTACGATCGAGTTTTGTTAAATAAGCCAGTTGGGTTTTGGGTTAAAGGGAAGCAGGTCGAATTCCTCGTCTATGGGGGACACAAGCTTCTGCATCTTCCAAGTTTAGCATCAAAAAGTGGAAGTTTTCCTACTTAGATATTGTTAAGAGTATAAAATTGTTCTTTCAACCCTCACTATGATTTTAGAGTTTCGATGCAGTTATAGGGTTAACATAGTGTCATAGACAACTCGAGTTCAATCCCGTCAGCCATGAATTTAAAGCAAATCTTAAGTAAACTACTGCCACTTTGTGTGTGGATTTCGGCCAGTAAAAAGGGCGCACAACCTGGGGCATATTAGCGTATAAAAACATATCCCGCAGCCCTCGTCACAGCTTCAGGGGTTTGTTGAGGTGGTAGGGTCCTTTGGCAGACATAACTTTTTGTAGTGAGTGGCGTTGAATTCATTTTTCCAAGTAGACGTGAAGAATTACAGGAAACAGGAAGGAACCAGCCAGGCAGACTGGCGGTCGACCACCGCGGTCGACCGCCAACGTGCACGCAGGCCTACTGGGTTTTGGAGATGAAGGCGGTCGACCGCCGCGGTCGACCGTGGATGACTGTAATGGATTTATGCTCTCGGGTTTGTGGTTCGGTCGACCGTCGCGGTCGACCGTCGATGATTTCTGGGCTGGGCTTCGGTTTTTGACCCGATTCGTTTCTAAGTTATATATAACCCTAAACCTCTTTTGTTAGAGTTAAGCAAGGACGAATTTGAGCAGTCTTTGAGAGAGGATTGTTGCATCCAATTTTGGGAGAGTTGTGAGAGATCAAGAACTTTGTTTTAGGGTTTGATCGGTGAGATTTGTAACTCTACTTGTATTCTCTGATTTCTAATAGTAAGAACTCTCTCCCCCTTGCCCCGTGGACGTAGACAACTTGCCGAACCACGTAAATTGTTTGTTCTTGCTGTGGTTGTGTTTGCATATTAGTTGTGGTTTAGTTCGAGTTATTGTACGTGTTGCACAAGAAAAGCTTCCGCCGCGCACAACAAGACGTTTCTAAGAAACAGTTAAACACGAGGAAAATGGTGTCTTGAAGTTGTCATGTTGGTTGAGAAGCAAGCATTTTATCGGTTGATTATAGCGTAATTTTGTGCTCGTTTTTTTCATCTTGAAAGTAACATACACACACAGTCATGCCCCCTTTTTAATTATCCTCTCCAACATTAATATTTCTTATTTACCAAAGTTGCACGAAGTGCAAAAAACAGAGTCTGTATACAATATGTGTATATTTAACATTTTAGTAATGTCTGCCAAATTTCTCTCTCGTGCTGCCATATTCCGATGTATAACTAGACGTTTCTGTGTGGCAAGAGCAATCATAAGGATAAAACGAATAATAATGGCAACCGAGTATTATTGACATGCATTCTCTCAGAATTATTCGGTTTTAACCGTCGTCTTCTTTTACAATCTTAGGCTGCGTTACAAGGCTCTTTGTCAGCCAAATCGCCGTTTCCCTCGACGACACTGCTTCTTCTCCGAATGGCCTTAACACGCCCGCAAGCTCCTCGAGCCTCTCCTGCTGCAGGAGCTTTGCGCACAGCTCAAGAAGTGACTCCAATGCATCAGCTCGTTGCTGGATGACGTTCAGTCCATCCCACTCGGCGGAACGCTCTCCTTGAAGGACAGTCAGTGTGCTCGCCGTCGAAGTTTCTTCCTCAGGTTTATCTCCATTTGGTTTGTGAACGTCAGAGAGTTTTGGCGTGTTTGCGGCGGCTTCGCTTGATTGGTTTTTGTTAGCATTGCCTATCGCTCGTCTGTCTCCCGATGGTTTGGATGTAGATATCCTGGCCTCGTTGCTTCGCTTCTTTGGTCGTTTTTCTTGTGGAGTGGAGTCTGAAGTAGGCTTTATTGGGAGGTAGAATGGAGAAGGATTACAAGATTCAGCAACGTACGGCAGCAAGTAAGGGTCCCTCAGTAGTTCTGCGGCCTGAGATGAGAGGAACAGCTGAAATTATTTTCCGCAGAAGGGTTATATAGTCGCAGATAGATCCTCTGTGGTCCTATTGTCGCAGATAGACTCTGGATTCTCAACTACGTCGTTATGTAATGATCATTGCGCAAGTCGACAGGAAGTGAAATCAGTTTATGAAGCTCATGTGTTTCAGTTTATGAAGCCCAATTTTCAAGTGAAACTAACTGACGGAATTGAGAATCCAGGGGGTCTACCTGCAAAAAATGGAAGCACAAGGGTGTGTATCCGCAATTAACCCTCGGTAGGTTTATGTGGATTTGTTGAGGTAAAATGGATTCTTCGCGTACTTACATTTGGCCTATGATCTGGGTTTTTTCTCAACATACTTTTGATTTAAATGTTTGGGTTTTGAGATATATTGTATGTAAAAGGGAAACTCACAGTGAAGATGAGTAAACTGTCGGGAGCGGAGACACAGAGGATCTATTTACTTTGTTGATCAAACCCGCCATATCCTGCGTAAAGATTGTGAAATTGTGTGGGATGAATTAGGGTGGATTTACACTCGAAACAATATTGTTATCGAAAAAGGAAACTTACTGGAGCTCTGAAGGCTGGGCGATGTGCTAATATCTCAAACATGCAGCAGCCTAAGATTTGCTTGGAAGAAGACAAAGGATTTAGGTCGTTTGAAACTTTGGTCTAAGCATATTGCATAAAGTTTCCTTGAATGAGAGAAAGCATGAAGATTTTGCCTCACCTAGAGACCAAATATCTGATTTGTAACCATAAGGTAGATCTGCAAGAATTTCAGGACACATGTAGTTGGGGGTGCCGACAATCTGTTAATGGTGCAGATCAAAAATCACGTCAAAGGAATCGAAGTAACGGGGATGAGTGCCTAAGAAGTCGGGATTATGTTTCAGAGAGGAAAGCTTGGTTTTGACAAATGAGGTCCTAGTCTCAATCTTTTTTGTTCAGATTTGTATCTTTTGGCATGGAATTTGTTGGCTAGAGTTAAATCTCTCATAACATAGGATTATGTCACGGGCTAAAGATTAGATATTCGGAAAACCCTGTGTTTATCAAGTAACTTGTTTTTATCGGACATTTGTGTATGATCAAGCAGCTGAAGGGACACTGAAACATGCATTTGAGGAATTGAAGTTATTGCACAGTATACATGAGATGTTTTAAGGAGTGGGACATACTGAAGAGGCAAGATCCTCTGCGTTCAGCAAAGTTGCAAGTCCAAAATCACCTGTAAATGATGTTAGAATGAAATACTGCGATAAGCATCTTTGTGTTGATATTATTGTAAATGCTTTCCAAATTTTAAGACATGCTGTAATTTGAGGAGCAGAGAGCATTTTACCTAGTCGAACATCGTTGTCCTTCGTTAGGAATATATTGGAGCACTGAAATAAAAACTCGAATTGAGCATTATAGAAGATAGACACAAGGGATAAATTTTTTTGGGCTAATTGTGGATAGTCCCCTTGTACTATCCCTAAATTGCGAATAGACCCCATGTAGTTCTGTTGTTGTAATATACCCCCTAAGTGAACTTTTTCACTCTTTTACTCATTTTTTGACAACAATAGAACACGAGAAGTCTATCCCCGGTTGGGCGATAGTAGAAGGGATCTATCCGCAATTACCCCCAAAATTTTACGGTGTTTTTGTTGTAAACTCTGGGATTTTCTTCTGACTACTTCAAGTTGTTTGCAATTGAAGTAACTTGAGCACAGAAAGCAATGTGACTCACCTTGAGATCTCTATGAAGCACACGGTTGGAATGCAGGTAATCAATGGCAAGAAGCAATTGAGTAAGCCATTTGCATACCCTCTGTAAACATTTTGTGATTGATATAATGTACAATTTTTTACATTCCAATCCTCTATCGTTGTAGACTTTGCCAAAAAAAATTGTTAGCTGTGTACCTCCTCTGAGAAAAGAGCTCCTCTTGCCTTCTTTATTTTCTCAGCCCTTCATAATTTTGTAGAAGGTTAGAATAATAATGGAGAAAGCCAAACCAATAGGCTTAAGTTTTTCTACTCACATGTCTCCACCTTCACAATAAGCAGTCACAATACATACACAGCTTCCCTGCAAACAAAAAAAAAACTAGAACTTTGACAAGGAGGCCAGCTGCCATTTTTTTTTTCTTCTTCTAAATTTCTGTATATCGTAGAAAGCTAATTGCCATTGTGAAAGTAAGTCATATTCCTAATCAAAGTTGTGCTTCATTAGTAATGACACCTTTGGTACTCTTGAAATGCTTTTCCTGGCCTGATTGTTTGTAGAGTGGATCACTTCGATAAATTTTGACTGAAATGTTTCTTTTTGAGATTGTTTATTGTTTCTTTGTTTTTTTAGCTTATGAATATTGATTAATATCATAATGTACTACCATAGTATAATAATAACTAAACACTTGAAGCATAAAAGGAAAAAATAAAATAAAAGATTACCTTGTCCACCCAGCCCTCCTTGTATTGTACAATGTATGGGTTGTTTAGGCTCGCAATCAAAGCCATCTGTTCAACATAGCAAAGAAATGAGATCCTATAATATTTGTATATCAACTGAATTTACAAATTACTGTACTAGTCATAGGAACTACACTAGCCTCTTGATGGGCTGTCCTTTGGAATTTGTCAGTTTGCTTAGCTAGCCGTATTCTCTTCATCACATATCTGCATGGGGAAAAAAAAAGTTTTCGAACAAGACTAACCCAAATAATTATCACTCTCAGCATGATTGTGCACCATCGATCTAAGGAAAATTTCTTTTTCTTGATGTTTGCAAGCATTGCATTGTTGAAGATGCACTATCTATACTACCAAGGATTTGCCACTTTTTATTAGTGCCGCGACTGCAAGAGGTACAATTGGAGTTCTCTCTTCATTATCTATACCTGTACTATATACATAGTATGTATGTTCGCGCTTTCAAGAGAATGTGGAGTCTTTCTCTGCTACACACCGGCATCATGTTATCTCAAACTTTCTTATTAACACTTTCATTCGATTTCAAATGGGGTTACCTTTCGATTATTTGCATCGTTTAGTTTTTATCACATGATGTCAATGTTTGTGTACAGATACCTGATATTCACGGTGTCGCAAAGAGATCACCTGTTCAATTATATATGTTGGATTTGCAATCAACACATTGTAGATATAGAAAACAAATATATAACTCTGCTTTAAACGTATAGTAAGTGTAAAGAACAGGCTGAGGAATAACAAGTGCCGAACTCCTATAGTACAGGAACTATATATGCAAGTAAGCCTATCAGGAAAAAAAAAGATGAATCTTGCTTACTTCTTCTTCTCGGATCGCAAAGAGATAACATAACCCTGATCAAGTAATAACTAGTAACAAAAAGATCAGAAAGCATAATTGACTTAACCCTGTAGACTACATGAAGTATACACGCGATTGAGCTCGTTGGAAAAGACGAATTGCTTACTTCTTATTCTCAGACTTGTGGAGAACAAGCAGAGCAGACCCGAAAGCTCCTCTGCCGATTTGCTCCAAAACCTCATACTCCTCTTCTCCTGATCTCATGACAACCTTCTCTTCTTCTTCTTCTTCCTCCTCCTCAGATTCACTGACCCTTCTACCCATTTATTGAAACAAAATAACAACAAGAAGCACAGAACTCATTTAATGGTGGTCACACCCTGAATAGATCTGAATCACAAAAGGAGCCTGAAGAAATTAAGTAAACAAGCAAGCACACCACAGCAATTATGAGTTCAGATGAAAAAGATGGTGGCTTGGCGGGTAAGCGAATTTCTTTTTCATTTCTTTTTCTATTCAACTTCAGTTTAAAGTAATTCTTGTTAAATTTAAAAATTAAAAAAAAAAACTTGAAACGTCGGTAATGACACAGGACCCCTTAAAGTATGGGGCGTTTCACGAAATCCCCTGAAGTTCAGAAAAGAATCGATCAAATATTTAGAATGTATCGATATTACAGAACAGTGAGAGCTAAGAAAATATTTTGAAATGTGCCCGATGTGACTTTTTTCAAAGTTTGGGGGGTTTTATGGAATTTGTTTTTGTAGAATTTATACCATTTTTAGAAGAAAAGAAAAAGGTCGGGGCGAAAAAGAGAAAGGCGGCCGTAGCCGTGCTTATAAAGTCTGGCTTGGTTTTGAGTGCACGAGGAGGGAATGATTGTTGGAGTGGGACCGTTTGGTGGAGGGCTGTTGTCCGTTGGATGGGGGCGACTGAGGTTTGGACGGTGGAGATTTAATCAGGTGTTTTGTGGAGGGGTCTGGATGGTTGGATTTCGCTGTTGGATGGTTAATGTTGTGATAGTGGACTTGCGATCCGACGTTCACTCTAAATTTTCTTGGATTAGACGATGAAATGCTTCTAATGGTTATTTGCATGTACGCTTCTCAGGGTATGTAGTCATTTAATATTGCCTTATGTTCTAAACTCTAGTGTACATAAATGCTGTCAAAACAACCGAGACATATACGGGCATAAGTTTTAAAAAGTTTAGGGCATAAGTTTTAAAAAGTTTAGGGTATATAACTGCTGCCAAAAATAAATGGAGGTATATAAGTGCAAAGTAGGGAAAACTATAGGGTATTTAGGTTCAACTAAGCCTCGTCACAGTTCACAAGTTTTACAAGCTCATGTCAGGTTGCTACTACGTTTGCTTTGACCTAATGAGAATAATGTAACCAAAGATCATTGTTGTACAGTCCTTTTGTATGCTGCTCTTGTTAAGAGAACGTTACAGGACTCTGTATGAATGCAAATCAAAGTCACTTGTTTTCATTAAATTGTTTTCTGAATGTTGAAGGAACATTAAGAAACTCCACTTGTGTTCATAAATTTTTCACATATGCATAATCTATACAGACTACAGTGGGGGGAAAAGCATAACAGTAACTATAATTAAAACAAAAAGATTAGATATTTAATAAGAACACATATGCATAACAAAATACAATAAACTGCATACTCATAAAAAAAGCTCCACCGAATTGCAAAGCACCATGAACTGCATGCTTGCCAAGCATTCACTATATTACCAAGTCAAGGAAAACTCAAGAATACCAAGAAACCTGCAAATCTTCACTCTTAAAAAGAGTTTACCGGGAATGATTCCATGAAATAGTATTTTCTTCACATACAATATTTTCATTTGGTTGAACATTAGATATCACTTATCTTACTTAGAGATGACCGCTACAAAGAAGATGAGTTGAGGCGTTTCACTAATGCTTCGACCTTTTAGGTTGCTTATTTTTCCCTTCGATCCTCTCGCGTGCCTTCTGGAACTCTTCCTCTGAGGGCTCGGGGATTGCCTCTCCATTACATTTAGCCACTATCGATGACAGTATGGAGTCAAATTTATCTTTCCTTTCACTCCTGCGTTGAGTGATCACTGCAACTAGGTCTGTCTCTTCTTTCTTCTTCAACCTATAAAGGTTTTTCAAATTATTTAGTTTCTATATAGTTAGGGTTAGTTGCACTTAACTACCCTAAAAATATTCATTGATTTTACCTTGATAGCCTGAAGTTTAAGTATGTTGGGAAACACCCTAAAGTTTTTACCCTATTTTCAACTGTAATATCTTCCGTTGCATCATCATTCAGAATTCTACTCAGAACGCATTATGTGATTACCAAGTTGATAGTTTGGACTCTTTGAAATTAAGGCATAATCTGTTTCTTTACTTTACCAAACACAAAAAACCTAATTCTGACATTAAATTGTAGCAAAAACAACCCTAATCCATTTAGTAATTAGTAATCAGAAATTAATGGTATTAATATCATTTTACTCCACTGCAAGGGTAACTCTTAAAAGCTGTAGGGAGTTTTTTTAGGTAGCTTTAAACTTCAAGGTATCAGAGTTAAAAATCAGTGGAACCAAGGTATTTAAGTATAACTAACCCTATAACTAGTATGGAACCAAAGGAAAGTTGAGGAAGAGAGCTTACTTCGACCGTCTCACTATAGGTTCAGTGGGTGGCTTTGTTTCGGACACTTTCTTCGCCCATTTCTGGTAGGCTTTAGTTGTTTTGAGCTCACCTGTTAACAGTAATTGGTTAGATTTGCTCAGCTAATGCTTTAAGAAACGTAATTTGAACAAAGCTTCTGAAAAGACGTTCCATAAAAAAATTATATCGGTTAATGAAATGAACTGACGAGGATGGGGACTACAGTAAAAATCAGTCTTCAAACTTTGGATTCAGCTCTAGCCATGACAGTCTAGCCATATTTCAGATCCACTGTCAGTCATTATGAAATTGTATAAAAGTAAAGAAAAATAATAATGAAGAAATGGCAAAATGTAACACCAGAATTTTAAAAATACTACATACTAAGTGGCCATGGTTGCTGTTCATCTCCTACGTGGGCCTTACAATCCAAAAATTCGGTATCGGGACCATAATTCAACAGACCTGTAAATGAAGTTTGTTTTGAAATTCCATGGCATGTGTTAAGGCCTCAAGGCAAAGGACACATGCAGTTACATATGCAACTGGTTTAACTTGCTTCAACACAGGCTAAGGTTACTTTGCTACGCATGTCATGACACTTCCCTAAGGTGTGATTTTGTTCGCCTGCGAAGTGTTAAGTTGAGACTATCTTCATTAGCCATGTGTCTGGGCTTGAGTTGGTCTTGACTGTTGAGCCAAGATAGAGATTTGTTAAGATTGTCACACATCCATTCAGTTTAGATGTGACTATGTGAGTTTGGTAAAGGCATGAAATGGAATTTAACATAGGAAAAACAATTAGATGGATATATGGTTAAATGTGATTAGTTACTCAATACAATTGTTCCGTTTGAACCAGTTGGATTAAAATTAGCCTACTCCATCTCCTTTATGGGCCTTTACAACCCAACAAAATAGCTATGAAGCAAGCAAAAGTTCAATATGATATCAAGAGAATATAAGCACCGAAAAAATAACCCAGAAAGTGTCATGCAGCCACCATCTTTGACAAAGATGGAGCTAGCCCTACCAAATTCCCATCACCGAATGCTTTCATCTTGTCACCGAATTCGGTGAATGACAGGGGAGAAAATTTGTGGCCGTAACCTTTGAAAAAGAAAAGTGGGTGGGCCCCACTGCAGATCCCACCACAGGAAATAATATTTTTTATTGGTGCATAGTGTTTTCTTAAACACTATAAATAGGCCCACAAATCTTCAGAAAAAATCATCCCAGAAACAACTCCTCTTATAGAAAAGTAAAAGAGAGAAAAGAGAGGCTTAGAGAAAAGTCTTTGTGAGAGAAGATTGTGAGCAATTTTAAGAGTAAGATTGGATTGTGAGTTTGAGTGTGAAAAACACTTGTAAAATTTCTCCCCTTTAGTGAAAGATCTGCAACAGCCCGTGAACGTAGGCAAGTTTGTGTCGAACCACGTAAATCTTGTGTCCTCTTATTATGCATTTATTCGTTTTCTCGTAAATCTGGTTATAAGAGAATTTGGCGAAGATTCCTAACAACTGGTATCAGAGCTCTGGTTGTGAAATCTATCAAATTTTTTGTAAGATTACTATTCATGTGAATAGTGAATTTCGTGAATAGTAAAATTTTACCGGCGATATCAACTTATCAGTAGAGATGTCTTAATACACGGTGGTTCGCAGAAATTATCAGAAACGATCCAGAGGAAGTCAGATTCGAGTGGGAGCGATGGCTGCGGACGAAGGGAATGTAAAAATTAAGAAGTTCGATGGTGCGGACTTCGGCTATTAGAAGATGCAGATCGAAGATTATCTATACCAGAAGAAACTGTATCAACCTCTCTCAGGAAGTAAGCCAGATGACATGAAAGATGAAGAGTGGGCTCTTCTCGACAGACAAGCCCTTGGAATTATCCGATTGACGCTATCCCGAAATGTTTCTTTCAACATAGCAAAGGAAAAGACCACGACGGGTCTTATGACGACTCTCTGCAGCATGTATGAGAGCCCTCTGCCTCAAACAAAGTTCACTTAATGAGGCGGTTGTTCAATTTGCGAATAATGGAAGACATATCGGTAGCTCAACATCTTAATGAACTCAACATAATCACAACCCAGTTGAGTTCAGTTGGGATTGAATTTGATGAGGAAGTTCAAGCGTTGATCCTTTTGTCTTCCCTACCAGAAAGCTGGAACGCTACAGTCACGATTGTGAGTAGCTCATCGGGAAGCAACAAGTTGAAGTTCAATGACGTTCGTGATCTGGTTCTCAATGAAGAGATCCGCAGATAAAACTTCAACCTCCTCAGCTTTACACATGGAGTCTAGGAGAAGAACTTCAGAAAGAAGTTCAAATCACGACAAATCAAAATCTAGAAGGAGCAAATCGAGATCGGGAAAGAAAGATTTCAAGTGCTGCAATTGTGGCAAGAAGGGCCATTTCAAGAGGGAGTGCCGGACACCGAAGAAAATTACCGACGCACAGGAGTCTGCCAACGTGACTGAAGGAGGTGATGCTATGATTCTAAGCGTCAACAGTCTTGGATTCTTGATTCAGGAGCATCCTTCCATTCCATCCTATGTCGAGAAATCATGGAGAACTATGTCAGCGGTGATTTTGAAAAGGTACATCTAGCAGATGATAAAACCTTGAAGATCATTGGTAAGGGAGACATCCGATTAAAATTACCAAATCAGACCACATAGAAGCTACAAGGAGTGAGACATATTCCTGGCCTTAGAAGAAATTTGATCTCTGTGGGACAGCTTGATGAAGAGGGTTATTGTACAACCTTCTCGGGTCATGAATGGAAGATTACCAAAGGAACACTCGTCATTGCTTGAGGTAAGAAAAATGGTACTCTTTATGCAATCTCTAACTTAGAGAATGTTATTGCAGTAACAAATACAGATGAAAATTCAAATTTATGACACCAAAGGCTTGGCCATATGAGCGAGAAAAGGATGAAGACACTTATGTCAAAAGGAAAGCTGTCGGATCTGAAGAGTGTAGATGTCGGCCTATGTGAAGATTGCATCTTTGACAAACAGAAAAAAGTCAGTTTTGCAAAGATTGACAAGACACCCAAGGCAAAAAAAATTAAAATTGATTCATACCGACGTATGGGGACCATCTCCTGTTTCATCTCTTGCAGGCCCACTGTACTATGTCACCTTCATTGATGATTCTACAAAAAAGGTGTGGGTCTATTTTCTGAAGAAGAAATCAGAAGTCTTTGATACCTTCAGAAAATGGAATGCCATGGTGGAAAATAAAACTGATTTGAAGATAAAACGATTGAGGTCAGACAACGAATGAGAGTACAAAGACAGTAGATTCAAAAAAATTTGCGCAAACAACGGGATCAGGATGGAGAAAATTGTTCTCATGGACACCGCAGCAGAATGGCGTAACGGAGCACATGAACAGAACTTTGAATGAACGTGCCAGAAGCATGAGGATACATGTTAGCTTGCCCAAGTTCCTATGGGTTGAAGCTATCAATACCGCAACCTACCTAATCAACTGCGGTCCCTCAGTTCCCTTGGACGATGGAATACCGGAAGAAGCTTGGAGCAGAAAAGAGGTAAATCTTTCGTATTTAAGAATTTTTGGTTGTATCTCTTATGTACACATAGATTCTGCTGAAAGAAGTAAACTTGATGCCAAATCTAACAAATGTGTTTTTGTTGGTTATGGTGGTGATGAGTTCGGTTACCGGTTTTGAGATTATGAAAATCGGAAGATCATCAGAAGCAGAGATGTCATATTCAATGAGAATGTGATGTACAAAGACAGATCAATTGCAGAATCAAGTAGCTCTTAGGGTTGAGCATGGTTCGGTCCAAACAGAAAAAACTGACCGAACCGACCCGAACCGACCCGAAAAAATTGATTTTATGAGTAGGGCGGTTTGAGTCGGTTTGAAAACTTTTCAACCCGAACCGACCCGAACTGACCGAATATAGTGTAATACTACCCATTCTGATCTCAAACCCTACCTGACCCGTCCCTAAAGAGTCAAAGACTCAAACTCTAAACTCATTTTCTGGATCATTAAGGGTTGAAAACAATATCATTATATCAGTGTTTAATGCTTCATAATCTCCTACTTTGTTGATATTTTTTTTCTTTAACACAATTTGTTATTTGATAAGAAGTTTGATGAAGTTAGAACCGAACAAACCGAACCGAACCGCACCGAACCAACTTGCAACAGTTCAGTTCGATTTTGAATTATAGGTGTTTCGGTTCGGTTGTTTAAATTTTACTAAAAACCGAACCGAACCGATCGTTGCACACCCCTAGTAGCTCTAGTACAAAAGTTGAAACAAAGGAATTTGCTGAATTTAAGGAGATTTCTGAAAATGATGTTCAGACTAGTCCTGAAGTAGTTCAAGAAGAACCAAGCACGTCAGAAGTGAGACGCTCCTCTAGAATTCCTAAACCAACCCAGCATTATTCGCCTTCTTTGCACTACTTGTTGCAGACTGACAGTTGTGAACCAAAATGTTATGATGAAGCAATGAAGGTGGAGGATTCGATCAAGTGGGAGTCTGCTATGCAAGATGAGATGGACTCGCTTATATCAAATCAGACGTGGGACATAGCTGAATTACCACCAGGTAAGAAAGCTCTTCATAACAAGTGGATTTACAGGATCAAAGAAGAGCACGATGGGAACAAACGCTACAATGCAAGATTAATTGTCAAAGGATTTCAGCAAAATGAAGGTATTGACTACAATAAAATTTTCTCTCCGATCGTGAAACTGACTACAATCAAACTGATGTTAAAAATTATAGTTGCTGAGAATTTACATCTTGAGCAATTAGATGTAAAAACAGCTTTCCTTCATGGTGATTTGGAGGAGAAGATCTATATGAAGCAACCAGAAGACTTCACAAAGACAGGCAAGAAAAATCTAGTATGCAGGTTAAAAAAGAGCTTGTATGGATTAAAACAAGCTCCCAGACAGTGGTACAAGAAATTTGACAGATTTATGGACAACAACGATTTCACTAGATGCCAAGCAGATCATCGTTGCTATCTCAAGAAGTTTGACAATAACTTCATTATTTTATTATTATACGTTGATGACATGCTCGTTACAGGTTCAGATCTGCAAGAGATTACAAATTTGAAGCAAAAATTATCAAAGCAGTTCATAATGAAAGATTTTGGTGCTCCAAAGCAGATTCTTAGAGTGAGGATCAAGAGAGAGACGAAATATAGGGCTTTGATGTTATCACAGGCTGAGTACATCAACAAAGTACTCTCCGGGTTCAACATGCAAGATGCGAAACCAGTGGGTACACCTTTAGGTGTTCATTTCAGACTTTCCAAAGAACAGTCACCGAAGACAGAGGAAAAGCGTGCACACATGGCGAAGGTCCCGTACACCTCAGGTATTGGAAGTCTGATGTATGCAATGGTTTGTACAAGACCAGATATTACTCAAGTAGTGGGAGCTGTTAGCAGGTACATGAATAATTCAGGCAAGATACACTGGGAAGCAGTCAAATGGATCCTCAGATATCTACAGGGACCACAGGTAAAACACTTTGTTTCAAAGGTAGAGATATAATACTAACAGGTTATGTGGATGTTGATTTAGCAGGAAATGTTGATATCAGAAAAAACACTACAAGATGTCTATACTCGAGAAGGTACAGCAGTGAGTTGGGTTTCTCAACTGCAAAGGATAGTTGCTCTCCATAACTGAAGCAGAATATGTCGCTGTTACAGAAGTCAGCAAGGAAATGGTTTGGCTTCAAAGTTTCTTGGATGAGTTAGGCAAGAAACAAGAAGACAATGTCTTATATTGCGACAGTCAAATTGCTATTCATCTAGCGAAGAATCCATCTTTTCATTCCAGAACAAAACACATACAGATGCGGTATCATTTTATCCGGTCACTTCTGAAAGATGGAGTTTTGAAACTTAAAATGATCAGTGGAGCTCAAAATCCGACAGACATGCTGACAAAGACGGTGACTACTGACAAATTGAAGCTGTATTCAGCTTCAGTTGGCCTGCAATAATATCAAGACCGAGGAAGAGCTACTGCATAGATCAAGATATGAAGACAGATTAAAATCAGTCTTCAAATGGGAGATTGTCATGCAGCCACCTTTGACAAAGATGGAGCTGGCCCCACCAAATTCCCATCACCGAATGTTTTCATCTTGTCACCAAATTTGGTGAATGACAGGGAAGAAAATTTGTGGCCGTAACCTTTGAAAAAGAAAAGTGGGCGGGCCCTACTGCAGGTCCCACCACAGGAAATAATATTTTTTATTGGTGCATAGTGTTTTCTTAAACACTATAAATAGGCCCACAAATCTTCAGAAAAAATCATCTCATAAACAACTCCTCTTATAGAAGAGTAAGAGAGAAAAAAAAAAGCTTAGAGAAAAGTCTTTGTGAGAGAAAATTGTGAGCAATTTTAAGAGTGAGATTGGGTTGTGAGTTTGAGTGTGAAAAACACTTGTAAAATTTCTCCCCTTTAGTGAAAGATCCGCAGTAGTCCGTAGACGTAGGCAAGTTTGTACCGAACCACGTTAATCTTGTGTCCTCTTATTGTGCATTTATTCACTTTCTCGTAAATCTGATTATAAGGGAATTTGGTGAAGATTCCTATCATAAAGTGCATACAGTAATTTTTCAGTAAATGCAGAATTACAGGTGTTAGAAAGCAAAGTTTTCAGGCATTGACCTAAAGATTAGAGAAGCAATTCTTGAGATTAACAAGAATAATATTCAAATGATGACAAGATATCTCAAGTACAAGAGAAACTTCTAGGAAAATTAGGACAAAGAATCACTATGTATAAATCTAGACGAAGAAATAAAAGCATAAGATAATAACCAACAAGTCGCACCGTCAGCTATTGCTTCATCAATTATATCCTTGAAACGATGTGAATCAAGCTTTGGCTCAGAACAAAGCATTGAACAGAAAAGCCTGTAGCAAAAAAGAAATGTCAAAGAAGCTTACGGTACCTTCTATATGTACAATTAGGCATACATATTGCAAAAATCAGTCCAATAAAGCAGACTGGTTAAGGCAATGAAAGGAAATGGATACTTGGCAGATTTAGGTGAGGATAAGTGCCTTTCATGCAAAATTTAATCACCTGTTCATGTTGCCTTTAAATTCAGTATACAGGTTCTTCAGATCTTTCTTCTCTGAATCTGATCCTCTGTAGTTAGCTTCGAATTCCTCAATATCAGCTTCCGTCACCTACAGCAAAGGAAATTAAAATAAGCGCTGCCATTCTGTGTTAATTTGATACAAGAAAAGTAAAGAAAATGCAAATTACCTTTTTATACATTGTCCTGAAGAACTCTTGCAAATTTTCAGCAGCTTCACCAGATAGGGCCTGATAGGCAAGAAAATAACAATTAGGGAAGCTGTTGTGGCATAAATCATATAAGTGATTGAAAATGGTTAAACCAAGGTATAACATCAGCATTGCTATGGGCTTTCAAATATAGAATGGAAGATGGCTAAACAAAGGTTTAATCTCAGTATCGGGGTAGGCTTAACGGCCCTTTTCAACATCAACATTGGGAATTATGGTTCTTTTGAATCTCAAAGAATATTAGATTGTCAATATCAGCAGTGTAAAAAAACCTAAATTTACTACGAAGGCAATAAAAAATTCTCACATATTTTGAATAACTGATGGACTTCAAAGTTTTCAGTATGTGGAAACAAAAGGGTGGACATTTATCAAATGTTCACGAGTGCATCCTCCCTGACTCCTATTTCTAAGAGATGGATTTGTGGGAAACGTTTGTATGAAGGTTTGTATGAAGGTGTGCTGGCCAAATTTCAGGCAGAAACCCTCTGAAGCTCTTTGAAAGAACAATTGCTGGTGTTTCACATGAATTGCCCCCAACCAAGAAAATAGTGAATTTCAGATAGGTTCAGCCAATGCTTAATTTGATATGGCAATATGTATCAGTATCAACTGGTTTTCTAGAACTCTATGTAACTTTCAATTGCCAGTAAAAGATTGTCGTAGTCTGAATATAAAAAGTACACTGGTTGGTACAGAATCTTTCTCATACTCACCTCATCATCAACACAACCAGTCTGATCATAAATTGCCCTTTTCTCCTCATCTCCAAGAATTGAAATCACCTTCTGCAGCAGCTGAAATTTCTCCTTGGCTTCCTGGCATATAAAGAAACAAATGAAGTTAAAAGAATAGTCCATATGGCTAGGTCACTTATAGCAGAAGAAATGACCAATACAAAATAAATCAGTAAGCACCTCATCACCAGGATTCTTATCTGGATGAAGCCGCAAGGCCAACTTGTAATATGCCTTATTAATTTCCTGTTGGGTTGCTGTTCTCTCCACACCAAGGATCTAGAAAGGAATTGCAAGTGGAAACGGACTTTAATTACAGGACCAAGCAAAAATGGCTATCCTAATAACTTGATAACTTTGTTAGAGTAAACTATAAAAAAGAGTGCCTCCAATCTATACTACAGGGAAATTACAGGATATCAAAAACAAAAAAATAACTGGAACAAATGAACGTTGCCCAATCTTACTACATGGTAAGAACCTATGCAATTACAGAATTAATAATTGCAATAAAGTTTTAAGACTAGTCACCGAGGCATTCAGATGTCTCGTCCAGGAATACTATCAAAATCCTGTCAACAATATGTCCCTCATGCCATGTAGAGCAAAATGCTTGACTGAACATACCAATATCAAAATCAGAACCTTTTTTTGGGGTTATTCATTCTAAGTCAAATAGCGTAGTGTTATCCATTTTTAGCATCAAAATACTAATTTAGTTCAAAAATAATTTATCTTGATCTTTGCGGAAGTATGAAGCCCCAGATTGTCTATTTCATCAACCCCTCCCCGCTTTATACAATGATAGCTAAAGAATAGTGAAAGCTAAATTTAAAGTAAACTTATGGTCGTCATTTAAGTAGCTTGCACCTGCTTAGGAGCCGCCCAAACCGATTTTTAAAACAAAGATTGGTTTTGATGCTAAAACATGTCATGTATAATTCATAGTCGGTGAGATTTGACTCGAGTTGATCTTATAATGTTAAAAAGTCTCTTTCACTACACCAAAACTCCAGAGTTATGGCCCGAGTTCAGGGTTACAAATCTAACTCTAACACCTATAAGATCCGCATGCCATAAACGTCGTCGATGTTTTGGGACTTCTGATCTTTCTTTCCATTTCCACAGTATAGGGTATATGCGTTTGGATACTCTATATCTGATATCCTCTATTTGCCCCAGTTATTAACCCTTAAAAAAGGAGATTTTTGTTGTAATACATATGGAAAACATCAATTTTATAAAGGATTTATTTCAATTCTTTCGCAACCAAATCTTGATTCCCCAGTTCAGCTACTGATTCAAAGAAATCGCAACTCTAATTCTCCCCCCAAACCTAACAAAATCAAACAAAACAAAACAAATTCCACCCAAATCACAAACAATCAGCCGATCTGAAGAATTTCTCGAGGCTATAAACAGAGATCGATCCCGATTACCTCATACAAGCTCTTCTCCTTCTCGATCGGCTCCCCGCTGCTTCCAATTTTGGGATCCTCCTCATCTTTAGGAACCCTAGTTTTCCCATTTCTCCCCATTTTCTCTTTTTTTATGTTTACCTGAAGGTGAAGAAGAGAATGGAGTAGAGAAGCGAAGAGAACTGGATTTGAGTGATGGAGGTAAATAGGGTTTTGTTATCGGAGACTGTGGAAATTTTCCCGCCCTTTTTCTTTGAGCGCCCGCCCTCTCTCTGGAGAAAAAAATAAAATCCAAGCGCTCTCGCTCCTTTTGGGGGAAATTGCGAATCATTGCGAATGGCTCGTGTGAGTAATGGGCCTGGGCCGAACCAGCGTAGAAGGCTGTTGTCTACGAAAAAAAAAGTAGGATGTCTATTTAAAATGGCATACGTATAGGTTGTATTATTTTCGTATATTCTAAAATTGTTGTCTTCCTCCCTCTCTTAACATAGTTTTTCCTCTCTTTGCATCCTGTGTATCCTTTCTCAATTGTTGTTTTGTGGAAATTTTGCTTCGTTATGAATAAAGCTCGACGTTGTGTTTGGCAACCACTTAAAATTAAGTCAACACTAACTGTACTCTGGTTCTGAATTGTTTTTGTTTGGCAATGAAAATGGCTAGTATTGACTCAAGTTATAAAAGATAATAAAAAAACCTAAAACTAGTTCTTTGTTAGATCGATACCTTCTTGGTTTAATTCTGAATCACTACAAAAAAAAGGAGAAATAGGGGCAATTTTTTTCGTCACTTTTAATTCAATTAGAGGCAAATAAATGGAATATCTGCTCTAATTACATGATGGGCAATCTCGACTATGCACTAAATTGGGTTTGCTGAATCAGTTATTAGGCATTATTCCAAAATACGCAATACGAATCCCAGCTCAGCCAGTTTATGTGAAAACTATTAGAGGCAGAATATATCAGCCTCATTTAACTTTCTAGAATGCAGATATAATGCTCAAAATATTTGAATTATGAAATGTATTTAAGTTAAGGTACAATATTATAGCTGTTAATACTTTATTAGATCAAATAGTAACTGCCCAAATAGTTTTGACATTAAATAATGTAATATATAAGATAAAACACATATATCGCCTTCTACATAAGCTTAAATTCTGATATTAATCATTTTTAAATTTATATAATCTCAAAAATAATTTTTTTAATTCATTAATTAAATGGAATTTGATTATAAGAAGTCAATCATTTGATTACATAAAGTACAAACATACTTAAAAACCTGTGACAAATAGTGGCATAACGAATAATTAAATTATAAACAAAGTTGCCTTCAAACATGAATATGTTATGTAATTATCCGTCATTCCTATCATTGGTCGCAACACTCTGCTGCAAAAATGAATCATTGAGCAGCTGTAATCTCAAGGAGGGGGCACGGGTTGACAAAGCGTGGCTGTTGGATGGGGGAGTAGAAGGAAGATGAGTATAGGATCGGTGGAAAGTGCTATATGGATATGGTTGTCGATGTCGGAGTGTGCTGGGAAGTGATTGTTCTTGGAAGAGATGCGGACGATGTGCTGTTATATGGGTGGATTGTTTCGGATAGTTGAAGTGTTGTTGTATGGACCGCTGCAGCTGGGAGTTAGATCTGTTGTTGGAAAGATTGTTGATCGCGGAGTCTTCGCTGAAGTGATCATGCCTGTTTCAACTCCACTCTTTTTGCGCTTTCTACTTTTCCTCAATGATTCTGAATATTGAGATGGCATAATTATTTTTGCTCGCCCAGCTAGTGATCGACAGTGAGAAGATGTTGGCTCGAGTTGTGCAACCGGGGCAATGGGAATCATCTTCTTGGCGTCAACCTTCATAACACGAATCTACACCGAGTCTCTAAACCCCTTGCTCTACATAAGTGTTGCCTTAGTTCTGATGTTTCTCGCATGGGTTCAACCAAACGTTTTTCCCGTGAGATTGTAACGCTCGAAAAAGTATTCACTCAAAGCCATAATGCGAAACAATTTAAAGTAAACAATGTTTTTTACACGTATCACTTGTTAAAATACACATGATTTAACAAGTTTTACTCACCGTAATCCTCTGATGCATCATTATCCATTTGTTCTTCATTCTGCGTTTGTGTCACTATATAAATCTCAATGGGACGGGTTTGCGTGTTGACCATGTTTTTCTCTTATTTGTAAAACACTAAAAGAATCTAAATTTATTTAAAGAAAGACTATCAAAATAAGGCTAATTGTTGTAAATAGCTTTACTCCCATTTATGAGAATAATCTGTTCATGGCTGAAATCTTCTCGCTCAAGATGTGGATTGCAAGTGCACCATGGAATGAAGCTGAATTTTTGTCCATGTTTTCTTTATGTTCTCATCGTTTGTGACCAAAAAGGCGAGCTATTCTGTTTTCCCCTTTCTAAAAAACAAATAGGTGAAGTTGTTATATTTTACAATTAGATTTTGCAGTAACTGTTGGTAGGGAGCCCAAGTTCAATCATGGCAATACTGTGAATTTACATGATTGGAGATTTAGCGCATGAACGCAGAGTTATGCTCTCTGCAGTAATGGTAAGGATATGGATTCGAGCTGCAACGAATTTAGAACTGTTAGGTCCTCAGGAAAGCTATTCATAACTTTGGCATATGTACAGTAATAGAAATATACAGTCTTCTACCTATGAGACTCAAATTATATATAACCTGTAATCTACAGGCCTCCTCGGTTTGAAGAGAAGTGAACCTTCATATTTGATTGATGATCAGCCAGCTATTGTGTTGTAGAATGTAAATGCATAAAATTTTCAAAATAGGACTTCAGCAGTATTTCTATTTAGTGGTGTAACCGATATAATCTTGAAACATCTCTACATGGTGAAGGGCCATTCTTATATGGCATTTATGACTCGGCTCGCCAAGTTGTCGCCAGCAACTCAGTCGCTGTTAAGATACTTTACCCTATATTTTGGGGCATAATGATGATCTCAGTAGATCACTTGCCACGTAATCGTTTGTATGGCATGATATTTCAACGTTAACATGTATGCATTAGGCAGTGCTACATTTTGAACCTTCGTAAGTCTTTACTTCATTTGTGGCTTATTTCACGGATTGATACTCTTGTTGTTACACCATCAAGGGACTTCTCTTAAAAAAGTGTTGTTATAATAATGTGCAGGCATGTTTGAGTTGATAGATAATGTTGTATAGTAAATCTAACTAATTGAGTTAGGGGACAGAATTACAGATACCCTAAATATGTGAATGTTCACTAGTAATGGGCGCTATGAAGTCAGTGTTACATAGTTATTCACTACACACATATGCACGCACGACCCACACGCTACACATTCGCATGCGCGCCATAATCGGTATCCTCGGGATTATATGTCAATCCACATCATGATTTTAGTTGGTATTATAATTAAACTCTATGTCCTCTTATTTCCAAAAGACCTATGATGGAGGTCAGAAAAAGTTTCTTGGTTCTTAATTTATCGCACCCTTACTTGTTCCGTTCCAGACTTGAATAAAGGCCCTAATTGTGTGTAAGTTAATCAACTCTATTTACATTGAAATAATGCATGGGAACTGTCAAATGTACAATAAGTCAAAATGATGTATTATTGAGATACTGATTCCATGCTCACCAACACAAAAAAAATCATGACAAATTGTAGAAGACAACATCACGCTAAAGAACTATAAAGTTTGTGTTTATTACATTAACGCCATGTGTGCGCGAAGCTCTTTGTGCCACCAGTCGTGATCATTTTTTGCCCTCTTCGCGCTTCAATATTGTTCTCACATCCTGATGCGCAAGACATGAATAGAAATTAGCTGAATTTGAAATAGTTTTCTATGGATGATAGTACTTTCTTATTTTTTTGGATAGTGTCCCACATAGTTAACGCCTTGGCCGATTGTCGCGATCTACACGATCACTCACACAAGCCATGTTCTGGCAAAACCAACTAGGGAGTCGATACATTGCTTTTAAACTTGCCTTACGTTCCTTGCACGCTATCAGACATCTTGCACATTACAATCGGATTTTAGGAAATATGGGAACATCTTCAGGTCGCAATTTTTGTATCGACGTCAGTAAAGTGTTATACCATTTACAGTGTTTAATGTATGTTCATACATAATTATAGCTGAAAGTGTTCAAACATCATACAATATTTGTTTTCCGACCATGATCAATGTAGTGATCATATGAATATCGCATCTATAGGCTTTGAGGGAAAAACCTTTTGATTTTTTGCTTTAAGGCCAGTATGTAGACGTTTGGGGCATCCTGGGTCACGCCATCCCTCTGTGAATGCATAGACTCCTTGCAGATTTTCCCCACTTTGTGTCTAAAGCCTCTTTCTGTTGCGTTTGTGGGCATACAGTATACAGTTAATAATCATTAATGATAATAAATATTAAAACAGGGTTTTGGGGTCGATATGTTGAGCATGTTAGCAAATTCTTCGATTCGAGGCATCGACTCTTCACCTCAAGCACTTGTATCGTGAATGTGGTTTGATGTATATAACTGCTGAATTCGTAGTGTACGTATATCTGGCACCATGACGGCTTTTACATTTTTCCATTTCTGCGCAGTAGCACAGCAAAGAGCTGTTAACAGCAGCAGCAGCCAGCTCTTTGAGCTGCTGGTGCACAACAGCCTTTGAGGAATGCTGCTGGCAGCGTGCAGAAGCAGCTCAAAGAGCTCTGCAGCTGCAGACAGCAGCTAGAGAGAGCTGTGGCTGCAGGCACAGCTCTCGAGAGCTGGTTGACAGCACTCAAAGACAATGCCGACAATACAGTATGATGTTCAATGCCATGTTATATCCATTTATTGCATTCTGATTTACGTAAATATTTTGTTTGTAGATGGTTATGGGCGGATTGGCTCGTTTGGTGGCAACATATCCCGAGAAAGGTAAAAGATTGACAAGTTTAAGATTTGATTAATAAACTAGATATGAAGATAAAAAATATAGAACTAAAGGCTGATCAAAAATGAAAATTAGAAAACACTACCATATATCATCCATGTGCCATCAAATCCCTGTACTCTCCTTCTATTTGGTTCTTCGTTGAAGCAGAAATACTCAACTCTAAGCTCATCTAATAAAAAAACACAAAGTATGGCATCAAATTCAATCTAACTTCACAGTTTTTCAGTATTTATTAACTAAAACACTTCAAAAAAAGCATGAGCAGTAAGTCAATGAGTAAAATAAACAAGTGCAATTTCAAAGAA